CTAATACAACACTCCCCAGTATATCTGGGAAATATTTTTAAAAAAAAATATTGAGCATAAAGCATATCTATAGGTGGCTTTTTAAATCTCCTGTCAAATCCTAGGACTCAACCTTGGTTAGATAGTGGAAATTACCAACCTAGCTAAAATTATATGTTTCGGTTCTTCATTTTTATTGCAACACGATAGACTTTACCGAGTTATACTTTACATAATATATTTGACCTCTGTTGCCAGAATAATAATAGGATCATATATTATGAGCTATTTTAGCTCTTACAAACATACATGATCAAGTGGGTTTAGCTTATTCCATAATGTGTCAATTGGGTTATATGATGTTTAGTTTTAGCCTTTAGGTATGGGGGTCTTATCAAAGCGCTCTTTATTTTTACTCTATGTCTCTAACCAAGGTCAACCTAAGTTAAATAAAGTCTCGATCGTTCTACTTAATTTAAATCAGAGTCCCAACAGAAATACAAATCGAAGAAATAAATAAATAAATAAATAATTAGAGAGGGTCAGTAAATCCGGCTATACATCATCTTTGATACACTTAATTAAGAGGCTTGCTCCCTCAATAGTTTGTCCTAATGAAGTTATTTAGTATGTGTTGTTTGGCATCTACTACCGAACTAAGACATTTAACATCAGAAGCATATGAATATGTCTCATATTGGTTCAACCTTTTGTTAGTCAACATGTATTACCGTAAATAATAAAAACAGTAAACTTTTAGAAAGTTAGTAGCAACAGAATGTCGAAATAATATTTGAAATTAATTTCGGAATAAATCGAGTCTAATGAATGTACAGTGTGTCCTTATTCCCCTCAAGTACCCGAGGTGCTAGAATATTATCTTTTCAGGATAGACAATTTTTACTCACCAGTGTATTGGTACCAAAAACTGTGTATTGGTACCAAAAATGCTGATGAACTTCGAACCACTCAATGTTGGTAAAACACACTGGAAAATTTTGTGCAGAAGAAAAAGAAGAAGAAAATCAGAAAATTTCGTAAGGAAAGATTCTGGGATTCAAAGCATATTTATAAACTTTCTGGCACTGTTTCTGAAAAGGTTTGCAACCTTTCAGAAACAACTATGGCTGTTGGAACAGGTGGGAATATTTCTGTTTGAAATATTGCAGGAAAACAGATTTAAAATAATTCGAAAAAGAAAATGGACCGGACCGGGTCGCGTCGCGGGTCCTGGGTTATTCCGGGTTGAATTTTCGTTAATTAATTTAATTAATTAAATAATTGAAAGAAATTTTGTCCAAAAAGATTAATCAATCAATTGTTATCCGAAAGCCGAGCCGAGCCGAGCGACAATGACGGCGTGAGGCTTATTTTCTTTCCAACCCATTTAACACCAAGAAAAGTGTTTTCTCAATATAAGCACATTCACTTTATTTTCCACCACACTGAGGGACACTTTGCTCTTTCTAAAGCAAAAGGGAGCTCACTTTCCCTCCGCTTTCTTCCCTCCATTCATTCGCCAATCTTTAATCCCAACACCTTCTATATCTAAAAATGCACTTCAAATCATGAAACAACGTCAATATAAATTTCACTACTACTAGATAGCAACGGCACATGTTAATATATACAAACAGATTTGGTAGTAAAGTTTACTTTTTACAAATGACTTGACATGTACTAGGACTGCTAACATTTAAGTTGCTCAAAGTCTGCCTCATACAGCCAAACATCTTTATAACATCGTCATGTTCTAATATTTTTAGGTTTTTACAATGAATGGTTGTGATACATCTATAATAACATTTGAGTTTTAAATATTTTCTGACTGTTATAGATAAATAATATGAAAAAATTATTTGTTTATTTTTAATGTTAAATATAAAATATAAGAAATTATTAAAATTTTAAAATCTCAAAAGATATGTATCTTTCACTAATTAAATATTAAAGAAAGCTAATATATTATTAATAAATTCATAACTAAATGTACAAAGATTTAAAATCTAAGCCACACATTTTAAAGCTACTAAAAAATTAAATTCTTCGAATCTTAAGCATTATATAAGATGAAAACATTGTCCAATGGAAAAGATTGTATGTGCAGATCTTCAAATAACAGACATTATGCATGATAAAACCTTTTGTGCAATAAAATAAAAATAGAAGCATATCTTTAATCAAATTAAATGAAATCTTTCATTATGGCGGTACTAACATAATATTATTTATTATAAGAGGTACACTAAAGTTTTATAAAAAATTAATCAAATTAAAATCTTTAAGCTTATTATTGGTAGTCTTAGAAATTCTACATGACTGTTATAAAAGGGTAATTCTTTAAAGAACGTACTACTATAAAGATGGTTGTTGCTATTATAAGTAAAAAGTTATTATAGAAAGGTGAAATATAACTTAAAAAATTGGTTCCAAGAAAAATATGACTTTATAGTGAATGGTTATTTTATAAGAATGATGTTACAGAGATCACAAATTTTGGTATTTATTTGAGACCGTTCTTTCAATTATTGAAAGAAATTAACGCACTATAAACCAAATATATGAACATGTTTCCTGGAATTCTAGCTAAAAACCTTTTACGTAGAATTCAAAGCAAAATATTATAGAAAGATTGCTTTGCCTCACCAGAAGAATGTGAGATGCAAATACTAAAGAGGAGTACTACTAAAGAAAATTCACTCAATTCACATTAATTTTTCCGTACTTGAAATAATATTGTGTGGCTGCAATAAAACGACACAAACAGTGTGCTTTATAAGTAGCAAGTACAAAGACAACGAAAATTAAATGAGACTGCGCAGTATTATTTGTTTTGTACGAGTTAAAGCACGATAAACCAAACATGTGACATGGTTCCCTCGAAACATAGAGTCCTTTGTATGTAGAAATCAAAGTGAACTTTATAACGTGGGATTTTTGCCTCATTAAAACAAGTATAGGAACATATATAGTACTACTAAATAAAACTTTTATGGCTTAGAGAAAACAGGAAGTCACACAATTCATTCACATTGTTTTGCACTTGAAAATGATGTTTGGCTGCAATACAAGGATGCCCCTATTTTCTACCTAAAACCAAATGTTGAATTAATTGAAAATGAGATGTTTTATATTGAATAACATCGGGGGGTTTAAGGATAAAGTTGATATACCAAACTTTCTCTCTCTAGAACATGAGCTCTCCTCTCAGTAGTAGCTGATATGGCGAGGAAAGCAAAATCTGGAGGAGGAGGAGGGAGTACCGTGCAGCACAATACAACTGGAAGAGACCTAAAAACAGTTCCACTGTCATCGGAGGCAACGAAATTTCGAAATGTCAATGCAATTCAAGGTATAGCTCCATTAGATTTGGATAGAACAATGGCGTCGACATCAACAATGGTGGAGAACACGCCGGCAACGAAATCATGGGCATATCGAACGGAGGAAGAGGTAAGTGAATCGGAATCAATAGAAAACAAAGCCATGCAAAAACACCAAAAATAGGGGGAAATTGGAGTGGAATTGTAGGGAAAGATGAACAGAGTGAAGGGTATGACCTTACCGAAAAGGGTGGGGAGCAATTGAGGGGAAATGTGAAAATTACAATGGAAGACATAAAAGATGAGATACTCTACTGGAGATCTGCAGTATTTGCTACGTCCTAGGTTCAAATCCACCACAAACTGTTATGGAGGGATACTTCAAAAGAGTATGGGGATCACTGGGGATAGATAAAATAGCCCAGGTGAACATAGGTGTGTTCATAGTAAGATTCCACTCACTGGAGAACAAGGAGAATGTAGTGGAGGAAGGAATTAGAATGTCTGACAAAACGCCAATGGTGGTTAAACCATGGAGACCGGACATTAAATTTGACAAGTAGGTGGTTGATAAAATTCCTGTGTGGATTAGATTGATGAATCAGGATATCAAATACTGGGGTCAAAATGCTCTAACAAAAATTGCAGGAATGATAGGCAACCCTCAAAAAGCGGACAGAGCAACAACACAAAAGCAGAGGCTACAATTTGCAAGAATTTTGGTTGAAGTTGAACCAGATCAGATATATCCAGATGTGGTAATGTTTGAGAATGAATGTGGAGCGATCATTGAGCAAGAGGTTAGCTATGAATGGAAACCAGTATTTCGTAAAGCATGTGGCAATTTTGGACATGATATTAGAGAATGTAGGAAGCAATTGAGGCAGGACAAAGCAGGGGAGAAAATCAACAAAGAAATAGAAAACAACAATACAAATGGCCACAAGGAGAAGGAGAAACCAGAGGAACAACAACAAAATGAAGCAAGGGACATTACCCCAATAGGAAATGGGAACAACAAAGACAAGCAGCAGGAAACACAGGGAAATAAGAATCAGGCAGGAAATAACAAAAAAGAACAGGAAACATGTCAAATGGTTCAAGGGAATAAAGCATGGAGAAGTCGAGGAAGCAATCAAAACACCTATGCTACAGTTACACAAGTGAACAACATGAACAATGGAATGAATGAAGGTGAGGAGCAGTCTACGGAGAGGCAATTGGAGCCACAAGGAAATGGTAACAAATTAGGGAAGGCTGGGGGGACCTAACCCCCACCTCCCTAATGGATAGTATTGGGTTCTGGAACACCAGAGGCCTAAACAGGACAACCAAACAAAGGAAGTAAATCTATTCCTTCAAAGACAGCAGGTTGGACTGTTTGGGCTCTTGGAAACAAAGATTAAGAGAGCTAAGGCAAATAAAGTTGTTCTTAATCTTTGCACAGGGTGGTCTTATACTACAAATCATTCTAAACATAATGCAGGAAGGATATTGATTTTGTGGAGGCCTCAGATCTTCACTATAAAAGTGGAAATGGTGACAGAACAACTCATTCATAGTAGCATAACTCACAGTAGCACATGGAAGAGGATTAATGTGACAATGGTGTATGGATTCAACGATCCAGCACTAAGGTCTGACATGTGGAGAGACATAAGGATGATAGCTAATCAAATGGTAGGGGCATGAGCAATTATGGGAGATTTCAACTCTATACTCAGTCAAGAGGATAGAGTGGGGAGTAAGGTGACATATGCAGAAATAAAGGAGTTTAAGGAATGTGTGGAACAATGTGGACTTCACGAACTGAAATCATCGGGGTGTTTTTATACATGGAGTAATAAACAAGAAGGACAGGATAGAGTGCTAAGTAGAATTGACAGGGTGATCACCAATAATGATTGGGTGAATAAATTGCCAGCATCTGAGGTTCACTATATGCCAGCAGGAGTATATGATCACAGCCCTACAATGATCAAATGGGAGGGAACGGGTGCACCTAAGACGAGGATATTCAGATACTACAACATGTGGAGCATAGACAACTCCTTCATGACAAGAGTGGAGGGAAGCTGGAGACAACCAATACAGGGGACAAACATTTTTAGAGTGGTGGGAAAACTAAACAGACTTACAAAAGTGTTGATAAAGTTATATAAAGACAAGTTTGCAGAAGTAGAGAAAAAGGAAGATGAAAGCATGAAGAAGCTGGTAGAATGACAAGAGAAATACAAAAAGATCCCAGGAATGAAATGTTAGGCAAAGAGGAGAAGGAATTGATAAAGCAATACATATACTGGAAGGAAGCAAAATTAAACTACTTGCAGCAAAAGAGTAAAGTACAATGGCTTAAATATGGAGACATGAACACAAGCTATTTCCACTCGGTGATCAAGGCAAAGAGAGCAGCAAGCAGAATATTCACAATCCAGAACATGCAAGGAGAAACAGTCCAATCAACAGATGCAGTAGCTGATGCTTTCAGGGAATTCTATACAATTTTACTGGGCAATGGCAAATAGAACAGAGATCTTGTGGCAAGCCACATAGTCAAAGAAGGACAGGTTGTCTCAGAAGAACAAAGGAACCAGCTGATAAGAGAGTTTTCACAAAAGGAAGTTAAAGAAGCACTATGGGATATAGAAGGGACAAAGGCACCAGGACCTGATGGGTATGGTAGTCAATTTTTCAAGGATAGCTGGAATATTGTAGGGGAGGATATCACTGCAGCTGTGCTGGAATTCTTCCAATCTAGGAAAATGCTCAAAGCTTTTAATAGTACAGTGATCACCCTCAGAACAAAAACTTCTCATGCTGCAACAGTTGAAGATTATAGACCTATAGCATGTTGTAATGTAGTGTACAAGATAATCTCAAAGATGTTGTGTAACAGAATGAAAGTGGTGCTGCCAGACATCATATCACAAAACCAAAGTGCCTTTGTGGCAGGGAGAATAATAGTGCAGAACATACTGATCTGACAAGATTTGGTCAGATTATATAATAGGAAACAAACTACTAAAAGATGCTTGATCAAGGCGGATTTGAAAAAGGCATATGATTCTATTGAATGGAAATTTGTGGAGGAAATGATGCATGTACTAAACTTTCCTGGACTATTAATAAGGTAGATTATGGCATGTATCACAACAACCAGCTACATCATAAATTTAAATGGAGGATGTTATGGCAAAATAAAGGGGAAAAGAGGACTAAGACAGGGGGATCCAATCTCCCCCTTACTGTTTGTGGTTTGTATGGAATATTTTACGCGAATCATGGGGCATGTGGCTAAGTAGAAAGAGTTTACTTATCATACAAAATGCAAAGGATAGAAGCTGACACACCTTTGTTTTGCGGATGATATGATACTATTCAGCAAAGGAGATTATGCATCAGTAATGCTCATGCTAAGGGGTCTTAAGTCATTCTCAAATGCATCTGGTATGACATTTAATGCAAATAAATCGAATATCTTCTGTGCAAATATGAATGAAAGAGGGATAGAAGACATATGTGAGCTGACAGGATATAAGAAAGGTAAACTCCCATTTAAGTACCTTGGAGTGCCTATATCCGCAAAGAAACTAAGTGCGGTAGATTGTGAAATATTGATAGACAATATACTGGTAAGGATAAAAGGATGGGGATCCAGGAACTTATCGTATGCAGGGAGAACTCAATTGGTAAATATTGTGTTGCTGTACCTGCACTCATACTGGGCATCCATATTCCTTCTTCCAAAAAGGGTAATGAAAGACATTGTAGCTATATGTAGGAATTACTTATGGGATGGAAAAAGTGTCACGGACAAAGCACCACTGGTAGCATGGCACCTAGTCTGCAGACCAAAAAATAAGGGAAGATTAGGAATACAAGAATGTTTGGCATGGAATGAAGCAGCATTGGCAAAATATGTATGGAATATAGAGCAAAAAAGTGATTTAATATGGGGTAAATGGGTGAATCATATATATATATATATATATATATATATATATATATATATATATATATATATATATATAAAGGGCAAGGATTGGTGGCAATACAATCCACCACAAGATAGTGCATGTTATTGAAAGAAGATTTGTGATATTAAAATAGTTTTTGCTTCAGGCTTTGAACAGAAAGGGTAGAAGGGGAAAATGAATAGATACACAGTAAATGAAGGATACTAATGGAGAAGAGGAGCAACACCTAAGTGGCCATATGCACGATGGATTTGGAATAGATTAAATGTTCCAAAACACTGCTTTATAGGCTGGTTGATCATGAGACAGAGACTACTTACAAGGGAGAGATTGCATATGATGGGAGTGAGCCAGGAGAGAAAATATCTACTATGTGGAATGCAGGATGAAACAGTACATCATCTGTACTTCGAGTGCCATTTCTCCAGAATGGATTTCAGTTGGAGTCCTTTAAGAAGGGATTTCAGTTCTGCCATGGTATTGGTGGTATGTGTTATATTCTCCATATACCCCTAATTCAATCCCCATTATGATTCCTGAATACTCCACCAATTTCCCCAGTGCCTAGGTTACCCTTGGCAGCTCCCATTTAACTCTGGTATAGAATGGCCTTTTTATAGCACCATTTTTTGCCAACATATAGTACTCTACTGCTTTAGAGATAGTGTTATTAGTATTGATGTTATCTCTTTTATTATTGAAGAGTTTATGGTTTCTAGCTAACCAAATGTGCGAAAAACAAAAAGGAATGATGTTCTCGCAAGGAATGATGTTGTTGAATGAGAGTTTCTTTAGCTTGTTCCAAGTTAATGGCCATAGCTGGGCATTGAAAATTTGATTTAACTGCTGACTAGCAGTAGATCCCTTGGATAACATTCTGGTCAGAAGTGGATTGCATTGGGGTATTCAAAGAAGATGTGGTCACTAGTTTCAGGAGTTGCTAAGCAGAAACAACATTGGGGGTTATAGTTAACCCCAATTCTATGCAGGAATGCCCCAGTAGGCCGTCTTTCTTAAGCAAGGAGCCAAGTGAAGTTTTTGATTTTGTTTGGGACTTTTAGTTTCCATATCCAAGTGAAGTTGCCTTCTTCACCTTTCCATAAGGACTCTTCATTGCTGCTAAGGAAAGTATAGGCTGATTTGTTGGTGAAGGACCCGCTTGGAGTCAATCCCCATATTAGATTATCCTCATTGGCAAAGTAGGAAGGAATGAAGGTTGATTTGATCAGGTTAGTGATGTTCTCTGGGATGTCCATAGAGATGGAAGAGAGATCTCGGTTCCTAGAATTGTAGACTGAGTCAACTTTAGTAGCTATGTCATTTGGGGTTAGAGGGCCCTCAATCATGTCCTAATAACTGTCTAGTTTGGGATCCAAGCATCATTCATGAAGCTTATCCCGTTACCTTTGTGAACAACCCATCTACTGGCCTTGTTGCATGTATCCCAGCCCTTGAGGATACATTGCCAGATAGGATATTTTGGCTTCTTGAGGGTATGATTCCAGTTACAGTGCTTAGAGATTAGGACTCTAGCCCATAAGGTGGAGGTGTTGTGGTATATTCTCCAAGCAAGTCCGGCATGAGAAGCTTTATTTTTAAACTCAGCTTTTTCCAAACCCAGCCCACCACTAGACTTCTGCCTAGTGACTTTGTCCCAGTTAACCAGGTGCAATTTTTTCTTGTTTGGAGTTGTGCCCCAGCTAAAGTTCCTCTGAATTCTATCAATTTGTTTGGTAGTCTTGGTGGGCAGTTTGATGTATTGCATGACATGACTTGGGATACTACTCAAAGATACCTTGGCAAGTATGGTCTTTCCAGTCATATTAAGGCAATTTGTTTTTCAGCTAGCCAACTTGAATTGCATATTACTCCCTCCGGTTCACAGTAAGTGACCAGTTTACTTTTACATTTTGGTTCAAAACCAGTGTCCAGTTAGGTAATCAAGAAAAAATTTAATTTATTTTTACTCTTTTACCCTTATGTGCATATCCCTAAAAAGTTTTCTCACTCCTCACTATAACTATGTGACCAATATTTAATAAGGGTAGTTTAGTCATACTAGGTATTTTTGTATAGGATTTAGCATTTTCTTAATGGGCGTGCTAAAAAGAAACTGGTCACTTATTGTGAACCGGAGGGAGTATCAATTATGAACTGGAAGTCAGTACTAGTAGGTCTCTTATGGAACATAGGGAATCCAAGGTACTTCCCAAAGGATATTGTAGCTGGGATTGACAAAGTATTTGTGAGGCATTCCATTGTGTCTTGCCTTTTATTAGAGGAGAAAAGGACCCTGGACTTTGTGAGATTAATTTTTTGGCGAATTCTCATTGAATGCTTGCAGGATGGAGTAGATAGTGGTGTAGTTTCTAGTGTTGGCGTTTACAAAGAGAGTATGGTCATCAGCAAAGAACAGGTGAGAAATTTTTGGGCCAGACCTACTGATACTGATAGGGTGCCATTGTTTGTCCTGGACGGCTTTATCAATTGACCTGCATAGCCTCTCCATACACAAAATGAACAAGTAAGGGGAGATTGGGTCCCCTTGTCTAATGCCCCTAGAGGGCTTGAAGGACTTTGTTTTTCCCCCATTCACTAGGATTGAGATGTTGGATGAGCTAATGCATGACAAGATTAACTTAGTTAGCCTAGGAGGGAAGTTGAAAGCATGCAGTGTGTCCCTAATGAATGATCACTGTAGCCTGTCAAAAGCCTTTTCTAAGTCAATTTTGAGAATCATATGATCATGTCTCCCTTTCATTTTCCCAAAGTGAATAATGTATTCTTGGACAATTATTGCATTATCAGAAGCCCTCCAATTTGATAGGAAACTAGCCTGGCTTGGTCCAATTATTTCAGGTAGCAGGGGCTTGATCCTGTTGACAATGATCTTAGTGATGGTTTTGTAGATGGTGTTACGAAGACCTATTGGCCTGAAGTTTTTGAGCATTGTGGCTTAGGGACACTTGGGATGAGACAGAGTAGAGTATGATTCATGGTCTCATCCATGGAATGAGTGTTCAAACATTGCTTGCAGAAGTCAATTACTGAGTTCCCCACAATGCTCCAGTACCTTTGGTAAAAAAAGGGGTGAAGCCCATCCCGGCCTGGAGCCTTAAAGGGCTTAAAGGAGAAAATGGCCATTTTGATTTTACTAACCTCGAAGGGCCTATCCAAGCTGTCTCTTTGACAGTCTGATAGGATATGAGTCATGTCCAGATACCTGGTAGTGGAGATGGGAGCTTG